CAAGAGGAGGGAGAGTACCCGAAACTGAAAATCCAGGATTGGGTTTCAAAGGAGGGGTGAGATGCACATAAAACCCGAGAAGCATATGAGGACAAAACCCTTTAAGAAAAAATAATTTGAATGAAGAAGAGATTGACTTGTTGAGAATTGAAGGTAGCTTTTATCAACAGCCCAAAAGAGAAGAGCAAGCCTTCAGGAAAGAAAGAATGGCCAGCAACAAAAAAAATTTTTCTTAAAAAAAAAATGGGATTTTGCTGACTTCATTGTAAGCTATTGAGACTAGGAGAAGTGTCCACCACAGCAGACCACAGAGGCATCCAGAGTCGCGACAGTACAGCATCTTTTGAGAGGCAGCAAAGAGGTCATGGTTACAGCTAGTCACAGCAAAAAGAACAAAATGGCTGCCTTGCTGGCTGAGCAAGAATCAGGACTGTGGTGGGGGTGGTGGGTGGAGGGTGGAAGGGTGGGAGCATTGTGGATGTCCATATTCAAAAAAGTTTTGCTGTAAAGAAAGGCAGCAGGCTTAAGAGACAGCTCAGAGGTTAAGAGTGCTAGCTGTTCTTCCAGAGGTCCTGAGTTCAAGTCTCAGCAACATCATAGTGATCATAACCTCTTATAATGAAATCTGATGTCTTCTTCTGGATGCAGGCATACATGCAGGTAGAATACTATATTCATAATAAATAAATCTTTAAAAAGAAGGAAGGAAGAAAGGGAGGGAGGGAAGGAAGAAAGGAAGGAAGGAAGGAAGGAAGGAAGGAAGGAAGGAAGGAAGGAAGGAAGGAAGGCATCAACATGGGGTAGGAAGCAGGTGAGGGTGTCTAGGTAAGAGAAAAGTTACAGATTATGACCTAAAAGAGTTAGGAGATATCTTAGATGCTTGAGTATTGGTAGGAATGATCCAGTAGAAAGGACATAGTGTTAGACAAGAATGTATGCACGATTAGTAGTATGAAATTTAAAAATAAGATTTCTGACTTATTTTTTATCTTTGTAATGAGTTACAAGAAGAATCTGTGAGCTGGGTGTAAGGAGGGGTTGAGCTGCAAGAAACAGTTTCAGGAGACCCGAGAGGGACAAAAGATTGTCTTGGTTTAAGGAAACAGAGCTTAATAGAAAATTATAATGATCCCTGTTGTCAGTGTTAAGGGCAGCTTGGATTTGAGCACAAAATTTACCATGAAACCCACTGTTCTCTCCAGCAACTTCTAAACACCCAGCTGTGGGCATAGGAAAGGAAACTGTTGAAGTAATCTAGGGGTGAGTTTTTGCATAGTGAACACATGGAAAATAAGGACATGACCCTTTGCCTTCGACTGAGTTGCCTTGTCCAGCCTTGATGTGATGGTATGTGCCTGGTCTTACTGTAGCCTCTTACGTCATGTTTGGATCATGTCCCTGGGAGGACTGCTCTTTTCTGAGGGGAGCTGGAGGAGGGTAGATCTGCGAGGAAGGAGAGTTGGTGGGGAGAGACTGCGGGATAGGAAGGAAGAAAAACTGCTGTCAGGGTGTAATATACAAGAGGAGAATAAAAAGAGAGGAGGAAGAAAAGAAGAGAACAGAACAGAACCTGAGTACCTACGAAGAGGAGGGAAAGAGTGTTGACATATCTGCTGGCATCCAAGAGGGCTGCATTAGGAAGGCAGGAAGGACTCAGAATGTGAGGCATTACTAGACCAAAGTTCTCAAGAAATCCAAAGGTTGTTGCTTGGGAGAATGTTTTCTTTAAGTTTCTATTTACTGTGATAAAGACCATGACCAAAGCATCTTGGGGAGGAGAGAGTATTTGGCTCACAGGTCACAGTCCATTATCAAGGGCAGCCAAGGCCAGATGCCAGGGCAGGGACCTACAAGCAGGAGCTAACAGAATCATGGTGGAATGTTGCTTACTGGCTTGCTCCCTGTGGCTTTCTCAGTGTTCTTTCTTATACAGTCCTGGACCACCTGCCTCAGTGGTCCCACATCAATCATTAATCCAGAAAATGCCTCACCCACTTCTCTAAAGGCCAATCTCATGAATGCATCTTCTCGGTTGAAGTTCCCTTGTCCCAGACTACTCTAATTTGTGCCAATTTGAGAAAATCTAACCAGCACAGAGGGTGGTGGCTCTGTCAGATTAGGGTGGGGACAGCCTAGGGAAGTGGACAGTAGCTGCAGGTGCACACTTTGTTTTGATGAGTTTGTACATCATGCTATGTAATTTTTTTCTATACACTTAAACTTCCCCTTCAGGTTATGGGTTGCTGGTTGTTTACTGTTTATTTTGCCCTTTTCTTCATATTTTAGAGGGGAGGAATGCTATTTTCATAATTCTTCAAGTAGTTTTCTTTATACAGGGTAAGCATTTGTGATCCAAAATTCTGAAATCTCAAATGCAGGTTACAACACACTAGAAAATTCTGCATCTGATATCATGTGACACAGGTGTGCTAAAAAGATACAATAAAATTGCCCCCGTCTATGTATATGACTATACATAGACTGTCTATGAAACATAAATGAATTTCAAATGAAGACCTGCATTCATTCCCCCAAATATTTCTTCCTTACTCAGCATATATCACTTATTTTTTTATGATACCATATTAAAGATATACAAATAATATAAGGCATACAAAACCAAAGCTCGAGAATCTGGTGCTCAGTTTCAAAAACAATGATCATGTGTTTCCATCAAAGAAAGCTCTCTTTGACTTATCTTCACTTGCTTTTGAGAAATAGAGACATTTTTAACACTGTTAACACATTCTCTTTACAATTTCTAAAATAATTTATTGTTTCTGTAGTGCTCTCAAACAAATCTACTTCTCTGGATTCCGCATCGCTGTCATTTGTTCTCAGTTTGAACCTCAGCAGAAGTGTCACCCGCTCTGGTCACCCTCTTTTTGTTATTATTATTAATACATATTAATTGTACAAATGAATGGATTTTGGCGTAGCAATTCTATACATGCATATATCTTGTCAATCTCTGATCATGTCTCCTCTCCCTTCTTCTGCCATGATCCCATCCTCATGACCCCTCTCCCAGACTCACATGGTCCATTTTCTGCTCTCGGGCCAACTGCTTTGTTTTTAGTTTGTTGCTTTGTTATTTTCCAAATGTGAGTGTGAGCATGCTTCCTATAACTTGTTGCTTGGCTGGTGACAGATCCCCAAGACTTCCTCCTCACATCCCTATGTAACGACTCTTCCTTTTGACTCACCCCTGATGATAGAGACTTTCAAGTAATTATTTCCAAAGGGGTCATAGGGGAATATTTTCCAAGCCTTTATATAGCTGAGGACTTTGTTGCTTTTATACATGAAGGAGAAGTGTTCACATATAGAAATAGTATTTTTGATTAATAATTCTTTTGCTTTCAAACTCTTTCTTGTCTTTGGTATCATTTGTATCACCATCAACAAAACCAATCACCTGGAAGAAAACCAGCTCTTGTTTTATTGGTAAAATTTTATTTCCTGATTTAAAAAGAGTCATCTGAAAGAAAACTTGCTTGTTGTTGTTGTTGTTGTTGGTTCTGGTAACATTTTATTTCCTGGCTCAATGCTTTGGGAATGTTTTTGTTTTTCTAGAAATTAAAATATTTTGCCACAACATGTTCAGTTACAATTTAACATATGGGGGTGTGAGTTCGCTCAACATTTTTAATTTTCAAGCTCTGATTATGACCTACTGCTTCTATGCCGGTTCCTTATCAGTTAGGAACACCTGTCTCAGTACTATGCCTCCAGCCCCATGCCCATGCTCGGTTTCCGCCCTCCTGTAATGCTAATGTGCCCTTGCTCAGTTTTAGTCTTTACACCACTGACTAAATTTTCAGCCAGAGTAATTTGATTCATTTTTAAAAAGATTTTATTTTATTTTTCAAATTATGTGCCTGTGTGTGAGTTTGTGAATGTCAGTGCAAGTGCTTGTGTTGGCCAGAAGAAGGTATTAGAGTCCCTGCAGCTGGAACAGACAGTGTGAGTTGTCAGACACGTGGATGCCCAGTTTCTTTCATTCTTTTTTTTTTAATCTGAAAATGTTCTTTAAAATATTCACCTATTCATTCACTCAGTGACTACTGAATGCCTGCTCTTTGCCAGTACTGTGATTGCTACTCAAAATAACAAAATTATTGGGGGTACGGAATAAATGTGTAGTTAGAGAGAAGAGATTAAATCAATAGTTATGGTGACATGGTATGAGTCTATGTCACTGTTAAATGCCACATTTTAGAGAAATATTTAATGGTACTAGGGGAATATTTAATGGTACTGGGCAATTTACATTAAGGGGTGAAGGGGACAATTTCAGTAAGTATATGATATATAAGCCCAGTTAAAAGGAAGAAATGTTACACACACACACAACAAAATATTAACAATGGCCAATTCCAGCAATGAGATTGATGTCTTAAAAAAGAAATCTTTGTCTCTTGTGGTTAGGATCACCAAAATAGAATGAGTTCCTCCAAAATTTCAGTGTTTAGTCATATCAGCAACATTTCTTTTACATACATATACATCATATACACATACACATATACATTAAAAGGTTCCTGAGATTAGAACACGGGAATATTTTGGAAGTGAAATTCATGTGAGTCAGAGGAGGCCACAGTGACTTGGTACTCATGAAATTGTCCAGACAAAATAATTCACTACAGCTAGTACAAGTGTCTCATCTCTGAAAATCCCTGCTATGCCCGCTCTATGCTGTGGTGAATTATTGGAGCCCAAACTGTGACTTTATATCCCACTCCTGTCCAGTGATAAGGTTTTGGTTGTGTACAGATTTTCCCTATAGCATGTGAGTTTCTTCAGGAGAGGATGCCCAGTTTCTAAACAACAAACAGGGATAACAGTTTTTGCAAGGGTTGGGGGTAATGACTTCAAAACGTCTCCCAATTTGGTTGATGTTTATTATTAAGACACCCATCCCTAATAAAGCTAGTAAAGGTCATGACACAATACCTTCAAATTAATCAACTCAGCTCCAGATGGAGGCTACTTACCTGTCCCAAGCCCTATCTTCACGTTATGCTTCAGGACATCAAGCACGTTCAGTAAGCCACTGCTCAGCCTGGAGAAAGAAGATGCAAGAACAAGCAGGTCTAGGTGATTTGACAGCATTAGGACACTGCCAATAAAGATGGTGATGTGGTTATAAACTGATTCTTATCCTTATTATCCCTAAGGTCAACAGTCAGTCAGACCAGGGCAGGAAAATGGTGGCATAGAAAAGACCATTAAAAAGCTGCTTCCTGGCCTGAGGTCACTCTGGTGAGGAAAATTTTACATGGGAAATGGTGAACAAGTAAGGCTTGTAGTTAGTCTTGAAGTTGTTGTGGAAGTCTAATAGAGCTATAGGCTTCCTAGCCAACTTCTCCTTCTATGATGGAAAACACAAATTATAAAGCATCATCTTGCCTCTGTGTCCAGAACAATGTATTACCCAAATGAAAAGCAATTTGTATTAGGGCACAAAAAATAATGCCCTGGTGTATGAAACATTTGGCCTTAGAAACAGCTGAAAGAGACAGAGTATCTCTCTGATCTCCTTTCCCCCGAAGAAGTCAGAATTTCTCAGGCTGTGGTATAGCTCAGTGATAGAGTGCTTGTTTAGCATGCATAGGGACCGAGGTTCATCCCCAACAGTAATAACAAAACAACTAAAATTTGTAACTAAATCATTCTAATCTTCCATCTTTATGTCCTTATGCCAGTCAGGAAGTGGTTCTCAGACATACTTTGTCTTAAAGTCATATGACTCCATTTTGAAAGAGATCCTGCCACATTCACAGAAGGTAAACAGTATGACACAAGGACCAAGAAATGAAGATGTCTTCCCCCGTATCCTAACTTGATAACTTGGCATTAGATCAAAACCACTTTGTCCTGTTACATTTTGGTATGGATGTTATGCTCCATTACATCAAAGCATAAAAATGAGGGAGAGTTCTCTATCTTTGTTGGTCTTCATTTAATGGTCCTGTGCACATAAAAAGTTGAGTAGGCATGTTTGCTAGGCTTTTCTCTTGTTAATCAGTCTTACTTTAGAAGATTGATGATGACTTATGAAACATAAGAAAAGGTAATTTTCCCTCATGTTTTTCTTCCCCTTGTGCTTACAGAGTAAAAGACAGTACAACTAAAGAGGAGGGAAGCCAGTAAGTTGGGATTTGATAGTTCAAACACTGCTTCAAAGGATTGCAGCAAGTAGGAGAGAGAAGGTTCCTGGTATGGATTTTGAACCACATCACCTTCATCCTGTTAGATCAAGGAAAAGACAAAGGAAACTAAACTCTGTCATTAGAAGTCCAAGAAGATATAGTGGGTCAAATGGCTCTGCCCAAGAATGTACGCAATTATAATTTCCACAGCCCCAATGTGCAAAAGGAAAACCCAAAATGAAGATCATCATTTATTTGAAAAGCTGGATCATGTTTTAATTTAGAGAGTTCTTTATCCGATGGATGTTGAATTCTTGTCCCTAAGTTATTATTAAGGTTGCTGAGTCATGTGCATTTACTTCCTGTTTGAAAACTCAAGATTTTGTGAGACCTTCAAATCTAGAAAAGTGCCCCATGTCCCTAGGAGCCCTCCCTACACTTCTGTGGACACATATACCTGTGTCATTCACAAAGTCCCTAAGCTTGCTTACACCTCTAGTTCTGTGCTGAGGTGCTCTACCAGCTGCTGGAGGCTGTTCTGTTCTTGTTGGGAGGCAACTCAGAAGTTCGGGGGAAATGCTGTTCATGCACAGTTGCCCCAGTCCTCTGCTGCTGCTGAATGTTACTGCTCCAGAGTCTTCACTTCTTGATATGGACAGCTGACTGTTCTTTGAGTTCCCTAAAAGAATTAGACTCCAGGAACCCACTGTGGATACTGGTTTGATGCTATTGACTTCTTCGCTGTGTGTCAGACTCCCCAGCAGTACTCTTTAAGATCAACATTCGCCCCACACACACACTATATGCACAACTATAAGTTCTTAACTGAACATCTACGACTAGAATCATGTTGTCCACAAGATCCCTAAACAAAGACATATTTTTATGTCTATGGGCTGTTTGTTTGTTTGTTTGTTTGTTTCTTTTGCTGGAGATACAAGACACAACTTTCAACTGACTCACTCATGAATTTATAACCTTTAAGAAGGTTAAGAACGGCCGGGCTGTGGTGGCGCACGCCTTTAATCCCAGCACTTGGGAAGCAGAGGCAGGCGGATTTCTGAGTTTGATGCCAGCCTGGTCTACAGAGTGAGTTCCAGGATAGCTAGGGTTACACAGAGAAACCCTGTCTCAAAAAAACCAAGAAAACAAAAAACAAAAAAAAAAAACAAAAAAAGAAGAAGAAGAAGGTTAAGAACATGTTACAAATAAAGCTTTCATACTCTGGGGATTGAAATAAGGTGAAGTCCTTCCTGTGTTCTCCTACACGAGCTTCATCTCACCACATTCAGTAGCATGACAAAGCTGTAACTCCTTTGTAAACTCTGGAGTTGACCATCTCCTGGGGACATGCATTCTTTCAGTCTGTTCTAAGCCATAAAACCTGAATGCTGTTTGTTTTAAACTCTGAAGATTCTATGTCCTATAGCTGCACAAAAGCACGTGTGTGTGTGTGTGTGTGTGTGTGTGTAAATGTAGAGATTTCCAGAGATGTGGTTCTCTTTAAATGTACATTCTGCAACAACGCCCTCTTCCACATGCCTTCTTTCTTTACCTTACAACAGGTGAATACCCATCTACTTGGTTCCTTTCTCACTCAAACCAACTATAGAAACAAACCCAAAGAAAGAGTAACCAAGAAAACAGAAAATGCCAACCTACAGTGCATATTAACAATCTACCAAGCAATTTTTGTCTACTTACGACAGATTAGAGTTGGGACAATGTGCAACGGATGCTCCTCGTTCACTGAAGACGTTAAGCTCTTCTTCAGAAAGGTAGCAGCCATGAGCCATCACTGTCTAGAGAGAAGAATATCCGGCATGGAGTTTACCGCTAAAAATGCTTGCACTAATATTCATGACTAAATACTGCAAGAAGACACAGAAGCAATCGCCTTTACAAGGACAGTTGCTATTATTTGAAGGGACAAAAATCTCTGCATCCAAATATTCATTACAAAGGCCTCAACAAATTTGTATGTTTTAATGATTGATTAATTGATTGATTGACTGATTGATTGCAGTGCGGGTGATCAAGTCCAGTACTCTATCTTTGAACTCCATCCTAACCCGAGCTCTTCCTTTTGATTCTGTCTGCTCATTTACAACACAGGAAGGGGTCAGCCAGCTCATTCATGGCATGGAAAATTCAGCCAGGTTGAACACAAGGTTGAACACATTATGATTTTATCATCTCTACTGTGGAAAAGTTTCTGGCTGCTTTCTTTTCTAAATTGATACGATGTGCTTCCAGTAGGTTGATACTTGTTTATATTTAAATCAGAACTTTCTTTTATTTTTTGTCTTTTTTTGTTTGTTTGTTTTTGTTTTGTTTTGTTTTTTGTTTTTTTTCGAGACAGGGTTTCTCTGTGTAGTCCTGGCTGTCCTGGAACTCACTCTGTAGACCAGGCTAGCCTTGAACTCTCGAACTCAGAAATCCGCCTGCCTCTGCCTCCCAAGTGCTGGGATCAAAGGCGTGCGCCACCACCGCCCAGCCAAATCAGAACTTTCTAAAAGTACATGGAAGCTGTAAATATGATTTTGTAAGGAACTGTGGATTAACTGTTGTAGATGCCTTGTTTTGGAGTCAGGATCTCCTGATTACAGCTAAGGCTGGCCTTGAACTCACTGTAGAGCCCAAGTTGGCCTCACACTCATAATTTTTATGCCTCAGCCCCTAGGTTTCTGGCATTGGTAGCATGAGTCACCAAATTTGGGATAATTGTTCTTACTTCTGTTACTGGCTTCAATATAAGTACCAATGGTTCTTGACATGGACCATTAGTACATAAAATATGGGCTATGTCATATCATAACAACTTTTAGTTATGGAGGTAAAACTTATTTAAGAAAGCAGATGCCACATGTTTGAGACTTCTCTAAACGTTCATCTTGCCAAGATTTGCAGGTTTCAAGTAACATTTAATTCTCTAAAAGTTTTTGTTTTATATTAATGAAAAATTTACACCCAAATGCTTTCTCCTTTGGGAGGCATTGTTCAATGGGCAAAATTGTTAAAACAAAATTTTCTGAACCTCTGTGCAAATAAAATTAACATGAAAATATAAGGTTAATTTATTAATCACATGGTAATATATGTAAAGAAGGATGAAACTTCCCATGTAAAATTTACATTGTTTTATGCAAATTATTAACCTTTCAAATCACTTGCATCCATACCTCCTTTTGTTCAGTCACTAAGAAATTACTTGCTGCAATAAACTCTCTAGGCAGTGTGATCATAGAAGGGCAGGCCAAAGGGTATATTGCTCTAATGAGGTCTCTTGCTACTCATATTAATTTTAATTAATTATAGAAGTAATACATTCTCATTTTTCTAAACCTCAGAGTTTAAAAAACTACTTTTGACATTCACTGTGTATCTCTGGACAGTTTTCACATGTGCAAACACACCAACACATATGCACATGTGCATCCGACTATATTGAGGATTCTTCTGCAGAAGCACACAAGCTTTGCTCTTTGTGAACGCTAGATGAAATTCTAATCACTTACATTTTCTGATTTAACCAGTTTCTTGAGGATATTCATTTTCAAACATTCTTGTGTATCATCACACCTATTTCTTTCATACTCTTTAAAGAATTAACCCTTAAAATGGATCTGCTGACTTGAAGGAAAACACACTGATGAGCTACCTGTGAAAGCATCATGGAGCAAAAGGTCATTCTTACCATCCAACGAAAAACTTAGATTTAATGACAGGGATGAAACTTCAGACTCAGATTAACTGCATACACTCACAAACTACACACACACACACACACACACACACACACACACAGAAAAAGCAATACATACCATGTACACACATATATAGATATGTATATACACACATATAGGTTGGTAGGTAGGTAGAGATAGGGAAAGGGATAGGGATAGAAATCAATGATATACGCCATGCACATACATATATCTGTAGACATACACACACTCAGAGATGCACACACACTGGATTTACTTTAATTCAGAAAATTCATGTGGGCTGTAGAACAGTGATTGCTCCTGAGATTTTAAAACTGAAAGGGCACGGCCTACTTTACATAGTTTATATCACAGTCCTGAACTTACCTTGTTGGTCAGAAGATTGTTTTTATCATAGACATCTGTGTAATTTTTGTAACCAGGGTATAGACTCTTCACAGCTTCAATTTCCTCACGGTTTTCACTTATGTGGCTCTGCAAACAAAGAGATAATGTTTTCTTTTTTATATATAAAATATGTAACATTGTATCTCCCTTCTCAACACACTGTTGCTAGTTTCTGTGTCGGGGCAGCCCTACTTATACACTGAAGGCCTAAAATCAGCCATAGGCCTAAACTCAGCAATAGGCCTGACATACATGCCTGCTAACACGAAGTCTTGGGTCTCTGTGGAAAAACACTGAAACAGATGGCTAGAAGCTGTTGTAAACAAGCAGCTTTGGTGGAAAGTTGGCAGGCTGAATAGTCATAGACCTTGTAGATAGGTAGCCTTGGAGGATAGTACCAACTTAGATAAGGACATAGGCAAAGTCATAGTGATCTGTTCCCTGAACCTTCACCCAGCTGACACTCTGTCCTGAAAGATATCTGTACTCCACCTGAACAATCTGTGCTCCCCCTGAACAGCTACACTCCTGGGTCAGCCCCTTCCCCACATCCTGCCTTTTGGTGTATATAACTCCTGTGTGAAAAAAGTAAAATCAGCGGTTTGATCAGCCTATAGACAAGCCGTGTTTCTTTTGCATTCCCTGTCCTCCAGTTCTCTCTTTCAGGTCCCCCAGATCCTAGTTCACTGCCCTGAAGGTCGGGGGGATTCTGGCACTCAGTGCATTACTTGTAGCAGCTTGCCTAGAAAAGTTCAATGGCCATCAAAGAATAAATCTATATAGATTGTTCAAAAGAAAAGTAAAATACGAGCAGAGAGAGCTGAATCCTGAGTCTTTGAGCAAGTCAGTTCTTTTCTTTAAGCTTACACTTCTTCACAATGCTCAATAAAAGTATTGGGCTAGTTAAATGATTTTCCATCTCTTGAAGATGTGTTAGTCATATTTCATGTGTGAAATTTTACAGAACCTAGTGCATTGGAGGCAGAAGGAAGACTTGGCTCAGGGCCTGTCTTCAGTCTGCCTCTCTTCTTCACTTTCTGAGTGATGCTTTTGCAGGAAAAAAATATTAAAATGACAGATCTGGACAATTCTGCCTTCATCAGGAAGGAGCTTATGGGAATCTACACACAAACCAAATGAGTCTGAGGAAGCCACACCTTTCATGAGCCACACCTGAAATCTGAGGGGACACAAAGTGTTTTCTCCTGGAGCAGCCACCCCAGTCTCTAAAATGAACATTTCAGACTAATGGGTATTAACAGTATATCAATGAAAGAGTTCATGAGCCAATGGTTATTTCCAAGACAACTCCCCAATGCCTCATTTTCTGGACCAAGAAGAGACATAGCAAGATGAATAAGAGAAAAGACAAGCAAGGGTTCTAACAGCTGGTTTACCTACATCTAACTCTATCTACGTCAGGAGTAAATCCAGTCCATTAATGAAATGCACGGATGTAGCACTAGAGGAAGGGCAACCAAGCAACTTGATTGGATAATACAAGTAAGCGTACATCACAAGGATAATCTTGTATTTCTGATTCTTTTGTCTCTGCCTTCTGTGTGCTGTGCTGTCGTGCCCAGTCTATGCAATGGTGGGGATCAACCTCAGAGGTACGTGCATGCTCGGTGAGTGAGTGCTCTATCAGCTGTACTGCATCTCCAGCCTAAGGAGAAACTCTTTACATGTCCCTTTCACTTAATTTTCTTGTATCTTTAAATATTATCTTCATTTTCTTCTCCCTCTCCCTTTCCCGTCCCCTCCCCCTCCCCCTCACCCTCCCTCTTTCTTCTTCCCCTTCCTTCCCCCCTCTCGGAATAAAAAATTCTGTTTTCAATGTGGAAATACTATCCAAATTCAGGATTTTATCACCAGAGAATAATTGTTGGAGACTGAATCCAAAGTTCAAATATCAGAAGCCACAAACAATTATCATGGGGAAGGCACACTAATGAGTCCTATGAACATCCATTTTAAAAATAAATAAATAAAAGGTAAAAAATCAATACATTGCCTTCACTCCAGCTTCCCCTTACTTCCCTGTAATACTGTCAGCTCAGAAAGAGGGGAGATCTTACTGCAGTGTGTAATTAAGTGTGAGTGGGGGAGGGGGACTCCTAATTTTAACCCAGCTGTGAGATTTTTTAAAAAGCATTTTATTGCTAAATTGCAACAACTTAATGATAAAGGAAGATACACTTTTTGTTCCTGGTTTTAAATTAAGAAACTCAGAACAAAAGGATTTTTAACTCACTTCTGTAAGGTAGAAATTAAGTTCTTTTTGCTTTTCAAATAATAATCGGTTCCTCCACAAATGAAGGTTCTAGAACACCAGGAAAGCATCAAATAAAAGCAGGAAGGAAATGTATTAAATGCATTTACCACAAATGAGTAGTCTGACATTGATCTCACTATTCTTTATAAGGCTGTCTTGGCCTGACTAAGACTGATCAGCAAATATTGAGGATGAAAACAACTTCAGGCTTCCGACCTGCAAAACTGACCAAATGGGTTAGTTGACATTAGTCAAGGTACCTCCTGGTGACATCAGCCAGTCAGGTCATCTCCTGCCCTGAAATGCTTTGACGCTAAGAGATCTCAGTAGAAGAACTACAGGTTACTAGAGATGACCTGAGGGTACCAAGACATCTTGCAGGTATAGCCTGAGGCACAAACCAAACTACAAATTGCCTACCTGGATATACAGATCATGGGTCTTGGCGATGTTGCCAAGTTCACTCATCAGAGTCTCCGTGCAAGAAAGGGAAAAGCGCGGGGTCACTATGGGTTTCACCCTTGGATACTGGAAATAGTAAAAGAAATGGGTGAGGAAAATATGAAGATTATGAACACATAGCACATTCCAAAAACAATGAGATTTTAGAAGTGAATATGGGTGAAAATCCCCAATTTCTAGTCCACAGAGGTTCTGGGTTCTAAAAAAACAACTCGGCATTGAGACGCGCACAGTCTTCAGCATCTAGTTTACAGAAGGAAGTTCTATCTCTAATAACAGGGATTCCCTCGCCATTACCTCACATGAGACCTGGGGTGGAGATAGCTCGGGTGAGGTGGTAGCTTATTCTCCTGCCTTCCTCTTGAGGAGGTATGCTGGCTGCATCCTCACTCAGAACTCCTTGGTGATATCTCACTGGGTGACTGGCAGGATAAAAGACTCCTAGAAAGGTTATAATAGGTCTACAAGCATCATCTCTAACTTGCCCAGGGTTAAATTGGAAGAAATTCTGAATAGTTCTATGTTTCGAATGTGATAGTAGAGGACCATAAGGGAAAGAAGGTCTAGGCTTACTAACCTATGAATCTATCTTCTGGAGCTATAAACCGTTTTCACAATGGGCTTAGAGGCAAGAAATAGCACTGTCTTCACAGGCCCTGCAATGCCAGGGCAAAGCAGATGCCTGGCTCACTATATATGGTCCTATGATGTACCACAGGACCATGTCTGAGCATAGCCCATTTTTCAATCCACACTGGAGACTAGCAGCAGACAGAATCAATGGAGAAGGGACCATCAAACAGGTCCCCAATGCCCACACGCCACATATCTTCTCAGATCAGGAAGCCCTCCCTCTATAGAGATCAAGGTTACAAAATGAAAGGGCCCTACACCAGGAAGGGAAAATGCAGTGGATCTGAGAAAGCTGAGATGATAGGGTGACTCTTGAGGACACTGACTGGATTGCCACACCTGAAATGATGGTTTGTATCTTAAATGTCTCCCAAACTCATGTGGGTTAAAGGATCTTGGCTGAGAGTACTACTGGGAGATGATAGAACCTTTGTGAGGTTGAGCCATCTAGGAGGAAATTAAGCTGTGGCTTCTGAGCAGCCACGAGGGGAGCAGCTTCCTTCTGCCTACAGTTTCTCCCATCATGCTCTGCCTCACCATATGCCTAAAAGTCACAAAACCAAGCGATCATAGATTAAAGCTGAAACCAGGAGTCAAAACAAACCTTCCTTTCTTATAACTTGCTTACCTCAGGTATTCTGTCACTGTGACAGACAGCTGACCAATGCACCTTAGACTAACTCAGAGCTTAGTGAACTCGGGATGGGGCTCACATACCTGACTAACCTTGGGTTCTCTGCCACAAATAGACAAAGGGTATGGGAACCAAAAGTAGGTACACACAATATCCCTGAAACTGTAAACAACTTCAGCAAATATAAAGTTTGTAGCACAGTTTTAATAGTGAATAATCAAATCCACTGACATCAGGTAATTATTCCTGACTACAAACCTGTACTTCAAAAAAACCCCTGTAAATATAGTGTCCTATGAGCCTTCACTAGAAAGCAAAAATCAGAAGCTTCTATGAATTTGATATTTCCAGGTTGGATATGCAAATGAGACCATGCAGTATTTCTCTTCTGAATTGGGTTTATTTTATTTAACATAATATACTCCAGATTCTTCAATGCTGTCTCAAATAGCAATATCTTTTTTACAAACGAATAATATCCCATTATTACACATACATGTATGCATATATATGTATATTATATATGTGAGACATTTAAGTTGTATACTACCATATGTATATATATATATATGCGCATGTGTGTGTGTGTACATACAAACATATATGTATATAAAATTAGTTTTCTTTATCTAATCATCCATAGGCTCTCAAATTGCTTCCACATTTGGGCTATGGCAAATAGAGGTGCAGTAAACATAGGTGCACATACCTCTCTAAGATATGATTTTGTTTCCTTTTATAGATACCCAGGAATGGGATTTCTGAGTCATATGAGGTATTGACCAAAGGGGATGAGTTCTCAATCATAAAGTGAACACATTCGCCAGGACTTGGGCAGTCTTGTCCTTACACATGTGACTGGATCTTATTGTGACCTCCACCCGACACTGCATGTGTGTGACAAGCCATTATTCTGTACATCTCAAAACTCACAGTCTTTGTCAGATGTTTTCTGTTTTAAAAATCTGACCTGTCTGAGCTGAGCCATTAGGTACACTGTGTCAAAAATCGACAGTTCTAAGAAAGCACCTCTTATGTATAGGCAAAGCCATAGGTACACAGATTACTCTACCAAACAACTTAACAAATCCTACAGCAAACAGAGATGCACTCCAGATGAAAACTGAACAAATTTACTTACATTCTTTTTGAGCATTTCTGACACAAATCTGAAATGAAGCAACAAATGCAAAGTTAGAAACATAAATTATTTTCAAATAAATGTTTCGAACAGTATGGGGGCTCACAACCACTAGCTAGAGATTAACAAGGAATAATTATTCAGTTTTTATTTGATAGCAAAAAAGGGAGAGGAAAGTCACAGGGAATACTGTCCTGTGACATCCTGTGGGTCATCCTGAGCATCCACACAGGGCCCAGGTTGTGCTATCAGCTCTACCATGCAGGGCCCAGGCTGTGCTCGTGGTTCCAGTTCTGTGTGATAGAGTTGCAGTGAGCCATGTTCCATGGATGATAGTGCATGGACCCTTAGGCACACCCAGGCACTGAGAAGCCTCGGACACTTTACTTCTAATAATCACATATATAATATACATATACATATATATATGTGTGTGTGTGTAATAATGGGATATTATTCGTTTGTAAAAAAGATGTTGCTATTTGAGACAGCATTGAAGAATCTGGAGTATATTATGTTAAATGAAATAAACCCAATTCAGAAGAGAAATACTGCATGGTCTCATTTGCACATCCAATCTGGAAATGTCAAATTCATAGAAGCTTCTGATTTTTGCTTTCTAGTGAAGGCTCATAGGACACTATATTTAGAGGGTTTTTTTTGAAGTACAGGTTTGTAGTCAGGAATAATTACCTGATGTCAGTGGATTTGATTATTCACTATTAAAACTGTGCTACAAACTTTATGTTTTTTCCCTCTAAAATGTGAATTGAGACCCTGGGGATGTAGCTCTGTGATAGACACTTGCCAGGTGTGAACAAAAGCCCTTGGCTCTATCTTTACTCTCAGGGAAAACAAATTATGGATTGAGGTACAGTGACCACAGCAGTGGATTGTGCAGGAGCTGAGCATACAGCCAGCATTGAAAGCAGAGATGCTGCCCTCGTCCAGTGATCATGGCTCTCAACTCAGCACTCCAGAGGGAACATGCTGGAAGTGAAAGAAACCCAGACAATAAAAGCAAAACGGAGATTTAAATTTATATGCTGAAAGTATGAACCTAAAGAAACTTCCGTGTCTCTCTTGATGTGGAATACAATACAATCACATTCGTTTTTTCGAGATACTGTGGAAAAGCTATCAAGGACCGTGTGAGAAAAGTACTTCAATGGTCGATAATTTCCCCAGTGTTATATGAAATGGGACATAATGGTAATTCATGAAATACTAGGAGGTTGTGGATATGATCTGAGTATTTCATATGCACTTATAGAAATGTCACGATAAAAGCTATTACTTCATGCAACTATTTTTTTTTAGGAACTTAATGAGCAGGGTACCATACTTAACAAATCTGGTCTTCTGGAGGAAAGTTTCCTGACCTAATACAGGAAACTTTTTTTAAAAAATATTTTTAAAATAAAGGATCCTTCATCTATGGAGCTGAGGAGATGGTGTTGTGGGTAGAAGCACTTGCTAGGCAAGCATGAAGACCTGAATTTGAATCCCCAGCACCAATGTTAAAAAAACAAAACAAAAAAAAAACTGGAGCTGGACAAGCTATGCACGCCACAAACCCCAGTGCTGGGGGTCAGCGACAGGTGGATGCTCAGATCTAAAACCTTTCAGTTCAGTGAGAGATCATATCTCAGGGAAGGAAGGCAGAGAGTGGCAGAGCAGGGCATCCAGCACCCTCCTCTGGCCTCTATGGGTGTGCATACTAGTACATGCAAATTCACACAACACATGCACAAACATAAACAAATGTACATTTTCAAAAGAAGAACACCAATTTTAGAAAATGGCCTAAATCCACTTAGTGACGTTGGCATACTGGAAGAGAGACATAATTTGTTTTTCAACTTTAATGCTACATCTTAAGAAGACTCTAGAGTATTCCACTACATCTCAAAATTCTTGGACTTTAAAAGAAATTGCTCAGTTGTGTGTGGGACAAAAGCAGGAGGCTGGGTGCAAGAGGAGATGAGAGAAGCACTGCAGTACATGAGAGAGTCACCGTGTGGAATCAGAAAAATGCTACACTCTGTTCTCACAATGTCCTTATCAAGAACCACTTTCTTGTGATTTTTAAAAGCAACCCTTCCAAATTATGCACTTAAAATTCTAACCTTTCCCATTTGACTCTTAAAGAGATTCTGCACTGGAACATATTTCCATTTTTGAAAATCATTTTTAGGGAAGCACAATTTACATATCATAAAGTTCACCCATTTTATGGGCTCTATTCAGTAAGTTTAGTAAATTTATTGGGTCATGGAGTTGTCGTAATAATACAGTCTTTGAATTCATCTTCGGAGTGAGATCCCCTGGGTGTATGGGCAGGAGACAGACAGTTCTTTCCTGGCAGCAGCAAACCTTTCTCACTTTATGTCTCCTGCATGGACCTGCATTTTCTCTATATTCACTATAGACGAGAGTTTATAACGTGTGCCCTTTTGTGCTATGCTTTTCTTAGAATAATAATTTTAACGTTCATCATGTTGTAACCACTTTGCTCTTCTCATAGCTGATCAATTTTATTGGACACATATATTTTCTGCATCCACACACCATTTGGTAGACATGTCAGATGTGTGACAAGTCCTCTGATAGCCTTGGTCACATAGCCCTCTGCCTCTTTCTTGCAATTCCCAGGATTAACTGAAAATGGGTGCAAATCTGACATCTAGAAATTGGAGGAACCAGACCCATCAGCCAGGCTTGTCCTGGTTCCTCCCAAACAGGATACCTTGTGTTTTTTCCTTTCGTTTGGTTAGTTTTATTCCATGGGTGTATTTGTCTGCATATGTGAGTATACATCTGCATGTAGTGCCTATAGAAAGCAGAGGAGGACACTGAAACCCCTGGAACTGGAGTTACCAATGTGTGAGAAGCCATGTGTGTCCTGGGAACCAAGGCCAAGTCAGGTACTGCTGAGCAATCTCTCTAGCCCCGTCCTACAATTTATTTTTAATGCAATGAGCCAAGTGTCCATCTGAAAAACCTCAGCTAGAGTGTGTTTCAGGGTTCCCCACTGTAGTGCAATGTGGGGTATGTATAGATGCATATCCACTGTCCACTCATCTTGGGTGGGCTTTGCTGAGCCTTGCAAACTAGCCTGCTTGGGGTCATAGGCTACTCTTCCTGTTGTCTATCTGTGAGTCATAGATAGCCTTGCTGTGCTGAACTTGTAGTATACTGTGGATTATCCCTACCTCCTTGCAAGCAGATTGCCTGGAGTCCTGTCCTGGAATGGACACTGGTATATCTAGGTCTCCTCCTTCGTATGTTGCATCTATGAGAGGTGACTTGACAACCAGCCACATTAGAGTCTTCATGTGGACATGCTGTGTTGCCTCTGCTCACACCATGGTTTGACATTTCTATCTGCATATGATACTCTATCCTCTAAGGTACAAATTTCCCCCAAACAGGTTGTTTGCATCCTCTGATGAACTCACTCTATGCCTAGAAGTCCTGGAACAGGCACTTCTGTCTCTACCACTCAGTGTCTCTCATACCTGTATGTCACAGTTGAATGTGTCTAGACCTTTTACTGTCGTGGCTCTACTTCCCATGTGTCCACAGGTATGGGATAAGGGTACATAGGCATACAGCCTTCCTGCTGTATGTCTCTACCTCCTCATATAGCAGTTCTAAAGAGATTCTTGTTCAGTACTTGTATATGCTGTGGTCATTCCAGCATTCATGCAGATGTTTTTCTCTTTCTATGACAGGATATAATGATTATGCTAGGTGGTTATAAAATATTGACAACTCACAGAAAGGACACAGGGTAAAAATCCCATGCTGGTGTCTTTGGGTGATTTAACAAGAGACAATGCCTCTGCTTTGTACCTCCTTGTGCTTCTCTGTGCCAGGAAAGCACATCTTTTTTGGTTGTTAAAAAAAACACCTTCCCTTTGGGTTCAATAGAGTGTCTCATTGAACGGCTAAGGCTGCCTTAGAACTCATGATCCTCCCCTCTCAGTCTCCCACATACTTGGGTTGCAGGCGTGTACTCCTGTGCCTGACTGAGACATTTTTACTAAAATGTCTGTCACTTACCTACACAGGTAACATTTTCCATAACCTCCCATATGTTTTCTGTAAGTGATCCCTTACACCATTGTTCTTGAGCATGTCATGAATAAACAAATGCTTATATATGCCCCGCCTCTCCTTTCCACATAATTATGATCCATGTCATCCTAAAAGAAACTCTACATTTAAAGTCATAGAGGTTCACTCTACTAAATCCTAGCTCTGCACTTTAATCTACACTATTAATAAGGTTTGGATGAGTGGCCAGCAAAGGTCCATGTGCCAAAGTTTGGTCCCCAGGTTGGTGCTATTGAGAAATGAGGTATCTTAGGAAGTGGGGCCTGCTGGAACATCTTTAGGTCATTTGGGGCATGTACCACTGAGAGACATTTTGGGGTTCTGGCCAGTCTTCTGTGTATGGTTGTCCTTTCTTGCTCACGAGATGAGCAGTGTGTCTCATTGACTATTACCTCATCAAAGGCATGTGGGCACTAGACAAAATACTGAAACCTCTAGAACAATAACCTCAAAGAAATCTTTTCTCTTTATAAGATAATTATCTCAGAGTGATGTAAACTATGCCAATGGCTATGAACAAGTTACCCAGGCTATGTCAGGCTCTCTTTTCTTTTCATTAAAATAAAACACAACAACAACAAACCCAGACACCTCAAGGAGCTTTTTATGAGGGTCAAGAATGGTATGTGAGTGACCCACTGACTTCTATCACATGTTTGAGCATTGTGGAAAAACTAGATACTGCAACAATCTGAAAACTGTCACTGTGCTCAGATCTCAATTGGGTCATAATGGCATCTACTGTCCAATCTCCATTTCAGACTCTATCAGAGTAGCAGATCCAAAATATAGATCAACCCTACCCTAGCCCATACCCCAGGCACATTACCTCTCTGTCTCCTTGACTGACTCCTCGGTGGTCTCCTTGTATTCTGGAACAGTGTCATTCAAATCCATGCATACTTTGCCCACAAATGCTCGCTGGCCAAATTTATCTGTGAAGCAAACAGAGAAAGGATCTAAAGATGTGTTCCTTAAATTTTTTTTTTAATTTAAATCATTCTAAAAAGTGAGAATGTTAAGAATTAGCTGTCTTCACTCTGTGACAATAATAAAGCCACTAAATTCAATGGATAGTATATAGTCTTCCACCCAGCCCCTATCCCATTCCCAGCCTGTCAGGAAGTAATCTGGTATTTTACACTTCTTATTTACCTTTTCCTTTTGATTAAACAGTTTGTTTATGTTTCTACCCATGTAAGAACTATCTAGACACTCATTTTCCTTCATGCTACAAAAGGGAATAACTTCAGTCCTCGAAAATGCATTAATATTCCTCGATATACCATCTTTTCTCCTTTCCCCTCATTTGTTTGTCTACCTGCTATTCTCCTGCCATCACTGGATCCAGTTCCTCTCCACTCATACAGTGTCCCTTTTCTAGTTAAGCACAGCATATGAAATGTTAAGAACATGGATCCTGGGGAATTGACTTGGATATGATTCCTCCCCTCTGTGATTACTCCAACATGGTAGCAACACTTGTGATTCTATTATAGGTACCAGACATTGTACAAAGTACTTAGACCTAAATGGCTGTCTGACATCTATTGATACCCTCATAGCATAGACAAATTAACTAAGACACAAAGATGTTCACATAGCCAGGAAGCAGAACTGAGCCTACATTTAGGTTGAAGATTCCATACATATGCAAGTCATGCTTATCTGAGCTCTAGACTCTGGTGTCCCAGAGTCTTCTGCTGCTGGGCAGGATGGTAAGAAACACACAAAGAAAGATGCATGAGGCACATGGTACTCAGATGCTCTGCCATAGTTCTCCCTAATTGTAGCAACATAGATATTGTAATCATTGACTGAATGCCTAAAGCTGCTGTCAATGAAGGATCTTCATCAGATGTGCTGGAAGAACTCTTACTTCAGTTGAGCTACATAGGTGGGGTTGTTTTTACAATGTTTCCTTGCTGTTGCAAGTCTTTCAAAAGGCTCTCTGCCACTCTCTCCCTTGGAGTTATTTTAATATCTAGTCATCATCAGATGAATTCCTTAACATCATTCTCATTATATCACTCATGGGCCTGAAACATTTGTTTGCGTCTCTGGTGCATAGTCAAGCCCCTCTGTGGTCTGAACCTCCTCATTACGAAACGAATCTTCCCCTCCCTTTGAAGCACACTATTTTCTGTCTCCATCATCAATATCCCTGCCTCTGCTCTTCTGTCCACCTCATTTCCTCACTTCAGTCTCTCCCAGTTTTGTCGTCAACTCAGTTAAAGGCTACTTCCATGGAGTCTTCCCAGATGGGCTGCCTTTGACTCTCCTGAGAACTTTCATGATAGTTTTCAGTGTCAGCAACTGGCCTTTAGTATGAGCTACCTTGAAACTCAACAGCCTGGTAAGTACAACATCAGCCAACAGTACTTACCAAGTATCTGCTGAATGCCAGGCACTGACTTGGGTATGTGTGGAATCAACCTAAATCTAGGCTCAGTTCTGCTTCCCAGCTATGTGGACATGTGAACACCTTTGTCCTTGAGTTAATCTATTTGTGCTATGAGGGCATCAATAGATGTCAGACAGCCATTTAGGGTTGAGTATTTTGTACAATGTCTGGTACCTATAACAGGTGTTACTAAAATTCTTAATCAATGTGTTTAAGTGTTCTTTCTGGTTCTTTTAGGACAACGATTGTCTTCTAGTTCACTGCACTCCTAGCATCTAGCACAATGCCCTGAATCTAGCTAACTGCCAAGACCTATCCATTGATTACAATGTAACAAACTGTTGCCACAGCTCCACTGATAAGGGTGCTCTAAAGAATCCCGAATCAATATTAAAAATTCTGATCTATAAATATCTTGGCATCAGAACCCATAGAGAAACAATTAAGTCATTTAAACAATAAAAATCCATTTAAGGCTCTAGGATATTCAGTCACTTGCAAAGTGCAAATGTTCAAATTCTAGATCTAAAGGCACTGGTTCCCACTGAGTATAAACTATTACCAGGCATGCTCTGGTTGTCTTTGCTTGACATGCCCCTAAATCTTGCCTTCAGCTGCTCACCTGTAATTTCCGCAAGGAGCAGGGATGAGTCAGTGTGAATTGTTCCAAAGTAGCAAGCCGTGGTGGTGCCGTTCTTTAGTGTTCTCCTCTAAAAATAAACCACAAAAAATCCTGAATTGCATGTGCTCAGAAAAGTCACATGGCACATATGGATGAAAATAGAAGTCTGGTTTTTAATTTTAAGATGTGTTTATTTAAAGGTATGCCATATTGATGTGGAAGAGACTAAGTAAATGGCAAAAGTATTTATACTCTAAGAGTGTGAGTTTAAGGAGAAGTTGGTGCTTCTGATTTCCTAGATGCACATGGTTGGGTGTTTCAGAGGTCATAGAATGAGATGCCAGTTAACTCCTTGCTCCTTGGGATGGTGTGAGGCTATTCAGATTTTATTAATCTGTGAGTGTACAAATGGAATTTTTTTCTGTGTATGACAAAGTAAAATTATTCAGCTAGATGTCTGCTTCAACCTGGCTGAACAATTATCATTACGTCTCTTTTTCTTTGGCGAATTTTCACTTGTACTACAATAAGTGAGGTTGACATAGATTAACTCCCAAGAAAAACACAAGATGAGACAACAGCAGAGGAAAACACCGAGAAGAAGCTGGAAACTTTCGGAAGAGGATGAGCACTTGGGGAGCTAGCAGGACACTGGCTGGTGTCTGCATAGTCAAGTCCTCCCTGTAGAAGCTCCCCAACCATTCCTAACCTGCTCTGTGTAGGAAGTCATTCTCCTTAGAAACTGCTAAGTGTGAAAAGGTCACAAATCCCTGATAACAAGATGAAGAAAAGGTTTAAGTGGAGATCTAGCTGATGGCCAGAGTCCCAAGTCACTTTACCCAGAACACTGAGTATGTCACTCCCACCACTCCTGAAGAAGCTGAAGAATTCCTTCCTGGAGAAAATGAATCCTAGTGATACTGAGGCCCGTGTTTGCTCCCTCCAAAGTTGATCCTGTAATGAGGTTTATCAGTCAGTCAGTGCTGACGTGGGTTCAAGGTAAGCCCTCCAGCCTTGGTTCTCATGAAGCTTCAACTGGATGAGAAGCTGCAGTTTCAAGTTGGACTAGAATGAGCTTAAAACACTAGAAAACGCAGAACTCTATGCAAAGTACAGTCATAAGACAAGACATCAAGAATCCAAGAAGGGAAGGAGTGGGGGGAGGGGAAGGAAAGGAGGAGTGCCAACTCTCTTAAGCAGAGGTCAACTCTACCCGAATCTCTGTTAGCACATGTAGGTCTGCTTATAACCAGAACCATAGGCCATGTCTGGCAAATAAATACTTGTCAGGAATAGACCAATTTAGAACTCATTGAATTTAAATACCTTCACAAAGAAATATGCATTGATATTGCCTCAAGGACGTATAGTCCTTGATGCTCCATCTCAAATATAAAGATCTGATATAATGGAGTTTTCTCTTTATTTCCTCTCTTCTTCTTCTTCTTCTTCTTCTTCTTCTTCTTCTTCTTCTTCTTCCTCCTCCTCCTCCTCCTCCTCTTCCTCCTCCTTCTCCTCCTCCTCTTTTTCCTCCCCACAATCATCTTTACAAATGTATTTTGACACCATGATATCCACCCACATTAAGCAATATTAGAATTATTTTTTTAACTTCAGTATAAAGAACAATTATGCTTTTATCCCCCTCACCACCAAAATGTAGTTCTGAAAATCACACACACAGTAAATTTCATTTCTGATTTCCCTGTCTAGATCAAGTGCTAGAAACATAGAGCTAAATCTGTAACAGATGCTACCAAGACTGTGCATTGACTTTGGGGTTTTATTTCTCTGTTCCTCTCTTTTCCCTTTGCTGTGATTTGATGACTCATTTTCTTTTGTTTCATACTATGCAATTTTAAGCAATTTCAACCCCTTTTTAGAACAATGAGAGGTATAAATACATTTTGAGGATAAAGATTTAGTGTGGTTAACACAATTCATTAGCACCATGTGCTAGCCAATTCATATCCAGCTTTTAGCCTGAAAAGTTTTTCTAGTGTCACATGGATGCAGGCTAAAATATAAGTCCCACAATTATAATTAAGCAAGCCAAAGGAATGAATGTAAGCATTTGCTTCTATTCTTTAAGGCTGGAATAATACTGGCACAATTAGGCCAGTACCTGCAGAAGGTGTGTGGCTAGTACCATAGAACTACCAGTTAGTCCAATGAGAATCCAGGAATGTAGTCCACAGCGTTCCCTGTAAGAGTCCAGGCCAGATGAAAGCATCTGCATTCTGCCATGTGCAGTAAGCACATGGTTTTCCAGTGACTGAATGTGCTCCCATTCTGGAGCAAGTTTTTATGAAAGAGGAGAAGGTGGGGCATTTTCCAAGCCATCAACATATACTGGGCACACACTGCAGCCACTGCCCAGGAACCGAACTGGCTCCACTGTTCCCACTAAAGCTGTCGAGGCTTACATCCCATTGCCACCTGTTCTGCTATATGGGACCATCCTGTCTTCCCTCCTCCAAAACCTACTGAAACAATGTGCTATCTTCCTTAATGTAATTTGAACTTTATTTTTCCTTGAACATTAGATAGATAGATAGATAGATAGATAGATAGATAGATAGATAGATAG